ATGGAGAGCGTACCTTCTTAAAAAATGGTCAAACCTGTACTGTACCCGAACCGCTATATTCTTCCTAGGTTACCTGAGCACCGTACCAAACATAAGGATTGATTGAAATGCGTGAAGTTAATAGTAAACTCATGCGCCGCGCGTTTGGCCTGCAATCAAGAACACTCCTGCTTGATAGCAATAGCTGCAGCTCGGCCTTAGCGTGCTGATAGATAGAAAGGACATTGGATCCAAAGGCAAGGCCGGCTAGACTGACCTGACTGACCCACCGATGTGGTTTTACAAACAACAGCAACCTGAAAAGATTGTATAAGGAACCATGGCCGTTACCGGCGTGGTATGTATGGTAACTCCCTGAGGGTTAGCGTTACCATACGGATGGTAACCATGGCCACTTCACAGTGGTTTAGGTAAGTGTGAAAAAAATTAAGGCCACATTGTGAGGAATCATGTGAAATTTAGATTTCTAGAGCAAAACAAAAAAAGGAAAAAACATAGAAAAAATGGACGGGAAGATCCACAAAAATAGAAACTGACAGCAAATCGGGTACCAGCCGCTCTCGTTCACAGTTTCGTAGAGATGTGGATTTCGTCGGCGATGCAACCAGCAGCCATTGCAAAGGAGACAGCAAAAGAATGACAGAAGAATAGACACAACGATAGAGACGATTAGGCCGATTATGAGCAAAGTATAATCAATCCTGAAAATTCAGAATAAAAAAACAAATAATTCTAATTGTTATATCTTCAAAAAGATTTTGCTAGTGTTGACCACGTCGTGGCGCGCGCGGTCGCGAGCAAATTCCCACTGACTCGAACGCGCCGCGGCCGCGCGCCTCGAATTTGTTTCTATGTACTTACTGGAATGTGCTGCCATAAGCGACGAATCGTTCAGCTCGGGTATGTCCGCCATCGACCTCATCTGGTCCACAGCAATAATATCCCTGCAAACATTGATTTAATTCAGATATTAAAGTAAGTATAGCAAGTACAAAAGTGAATAGAACGAATGCTTGAAATACCATGCAGTTGCTGGTGATCTAACCCTTAAGGATACGCCACCGCCAAGGTTAACGCCGTGCACGGTCGATATTCCTTCAAATACTCATACTAATTGGATGCAAACCTCGGGTATACCACAATAAGTAGTGGCGACCAGAGCTCGCCAATGGTAAAACTGTTTCAATTACACCAATCTCTGGCGTCTTGAAACTTAATGGACATGCCTGAGTCCGAACAGATACCGGTAAAAGCGGCACCCGGTGTCTCATGCACCTTACGCTAGCCCTCCAAATATCCAAATCTAGCATACATTAAACGATATAAGGACGAATTCACGCTGGAAAGGCAACCCATTTCAAATTAACTTAGCGATGGTGAGTGGTACACTAAAGAAGGAAAAACCATGAGAAACGGCCCAGAACCCGAGAAATGGGACCCCTTCCTTGCCCGTTGATTTGAGCATTGATGCGACTATCATCGCTGTGCCCTCTTCAACACTACGCTCTCTCACCTATCTAATCACTCGCCACGTATAGACCTGCGGCGAGTGATCAGATGATCGGTGGGCGTGCACTGGCCCACCGCGCCAAGATTGAGCCTTAATAGGTCGCCGAGGTCAACAATTCGGTGCTGGCCGCACCCTTAGGAAGTCCGCGGGTCACTCAACCAGTGAATTACTTCTTCTTCGACTTTCATTCTGATCGTGAATTCGTCTTTTAACGCTTTATCAGCTGTCAATATTAGTTCATTTTTTGGGTGACAATTTATGCAAGTAAACAACGAGTCGATTCCAAGCGCAAAATCACTAGTAAACAAATGTGTTGGAGATAGATCTTAGATCAGTCTAGAAAAAAATAGCCGCTGTCATTCAACAGCTGACAGCTCAATTGAAGCTCAAAGCTCTCATCAGGTGATTCTTTGGCACAGTCTTTAAGAGTACTGATAGCTGGATGCTGAAGCTGGAAGTTTCGTTAAGTCCTCGCAAAGAACACAAGCCTGTGAGGCCATTTACTGTGCTTTACACCTGAACTGCGGTAAATAATCTCTGAATCTAAAAGCTCCGTCAGTTTCATCGGCAAGAGCAGAAGCCAGTGAGAGCCTTAACAGTTCTCTACACCACCTGACCTTCAGTAAACTCCCCTCACCCCCGTTCAATTGCTGGGCCTATTTGCAATGAAATAACTTGAGAAATGCAATGAGGCTGTTGATGTTATTGGTAGCCACCTGTGAAGGTCGGGCACTATAACTGGGCTCATAACTAAAAGAGATAGGCACTCAAACTATTACTTTCTACTGGCCCAATAGAATCCAAAAACACCACCGCCCTCCTGACATATGCAACAAACGCATCCGATGCATGATGGTGAATTCAACGAACCTGATCAGCGCCCTCGAATGAGGGACAGCATGCAAAGGCACATTCGAGGACGTGGCCTTTTGACGTGGCTGGACATTTCACCTAAAAGAAGCAGGCTTAATAAGCGTTAGTGATTGGAAAACTTCAAATATATTTTAATTGAAATATTGAGGTTTTTTAGATCTGAAATAATTATTATATAGGCGAAGACAAAATGTTAAAAATAAACAGGTCGAAAAAAATGAACGGAAAAATGTCAGCTATGCACACGTGAGTCACAACAGATATCCGCTACCCATGCAAGACATTGCAAAGAGGCTCCTTCACCTTTTCCTACCTTATTCGATTCTACTCCACACAATTTATAAGGATATAAATGAAGAGCAAGGACGTAATCAATTTTATTCGATAATAGAGAAATGAAATTTATGGCAGTAAATTTCGAAAAGTAAAAATAAGCGTTAAGAGAAAGAGACTAGGAAAATAAGAAAAGGGTAGATAGGAGCCTTTGAAAGCTGCTGCAGCAGGCTCAACCGTCCGTTCGAACTGTTCGAACGGGGGGGGGGGGTCGCATTGGTCGCATTGCGCGCTTTGGTGATCAGGGGCGCAGGGCATAGGTGCGTGCGAAAAAAGTTGCCGTTTCACTGGTTGGGTTGTATAACCCCCCCCTCGACGGCTGTTTTTGGGGGAAAAGTGGGTGGAGTTTCGGAGTTTTAGGTAGGTTTTGGGCTGTGTCAACTGGTCTCAGAATCAAATACTATAGAAGAGGGAGAGGTCGCGGTGGAGGAAGGCTGGGTATTGGGGGGTCGCAATTGGGGGGGGGGGGGTCGCAACTGGTCCCTTCGAGAGAGGGGGTCGCAAAAATCCCGAAAATGTTCGAACGTGACGGTTGACCCTGAGCTTCTGTGAAGCACGTTTCCAAAATCTTATGGGTAAGATAGTAGATAAGAGCGCTCTGTGCCAGTGCTCGCTGCATCATGGCTTAGCCTCATCGATTAGAGTAATGGAATTCTAGGAATGAAGAAAGAACATGGGGAGTTTATGTCTGCTTATATACATATTTGGCATGGCATGGCAGGCATGCTGAAGAAAATTCAAAAAAGTTCCATTTCTGGTAAACCGTCTTTTTAACCGTGTTTTTGCAAAAACTAAACCGCTCTAGATATTAGGGCAGCTACATATAACTACAGTACACACTGGGTATTCCTAAAATAATCTACCACAACTGGTTTAAAAAAGGCGACAGTACAGCTGTACATAGCTTGCAGAACTAAAAGGTGTGTACACGTTGAGCTGCAGTACCGTACTTATTGTGAATTGTCTACTATAGGATAGGTCCTCTAAATAATATGGAAAAAGCTAGAAAAAAAACTAGGAAAATTATCAATTTCGAAGGGCCGTGGGTTTTTACCGGCAGCTAGAGTAGATTTTGGTACGGTTTATATTATTATCATCATCATCTCAAAATCGGTTAACATTTTTCTTGAGTTATTCCCTGTGGCTATTTCTCAGTGCCTAGTCCACCTTCCTCTTTGTCATCCAGCTCCAAACCCTGTGCTCTCTCAGGCCCTAATTTTTCTCCCGTTCCCTCTGCCTCTCTCCGTTGACTCTTTCCTCCTTTTCTCTTCTTAGGTATAAACATCTGCCCCAAAATTGACTGTACAAAGCCGATCAACGAAACGGTAAAGATGCTGCAAAGGGATACAAAACTACTAAAAAATCAATTATTCTACATGTCTCACTGAGATTACTGTAGAAATTATTTAACTTGCGCTTCTGTATTTATGGTAGATTACTAAGGAAATAAACGGCTGTAAAACAGACCCAAAACCAAAAAAAAGATCCAAGAATAGATAAGTCTGAAAGGTGCAAATACCTTAGCGGTGGCATGTGGTAAAAAATAGAGCAGCGCTAGAAAATAGGCGTAATGGTGCAGCATCAGCCCCGTGTTTAAGGAGGGGCGTGGTGGAGCCGGGTTGACGGGGGGCGCAGGGCAAAGCGGTGAAGGGGAACTGGTTCGAGACCGCAGTCATCGTCGATCGAGACGCCCACAATAACGAGCGAAGGACGTGTGTGCACGAGTGAGATGTAACCGAACCAGGTGACAATTTAGCTCTTGTCGGAAAACTGGGGTTATCCAGAAGGACCTCCGGCCTTGATATTGCCAGTCACGTGCTCTCCTTTTTGAAGTTTATTTGAAGGGAGTTTGAAGAATGTTTTTTATTGATCGCATCCTTCAACACATCGTCACCTGTGAGTCAGGCATGACTCACAAACCAAAAAAGCGACTTTATGGAGAAGTTATGGCTATTCAGCAAGTTGTAAGAGGAATATACAGTCTACAAAAGGGATTGGTCAGCGGAAGATCCTTTTCGTTGGAGTAGAATTACCTCAGAGAAGTTCTTGCAGTGACAATGTGATGGAGGGGAAAAATTGGTACACATAAAATGGCACAAATTCTTCCGAGCCAGAGTCAGGAATTCCCTCTGCCTTAGCTTAGAAATAGCCCTCCTAGAGCGTCACGAGCCTTCAAAACCACCAGTCCGAGCAAATTGTAAACATATGATCGAAGATAGGGCGGAGGTGGTGTACTGGCAAGTGGCGCGCTTACCACGCGAGCGGTCCTGGGATCAAATCCTGGGTCGTGAGTCGCCCGGGCCAACCAAGCCTTCCATCCCTCCGGGGTCGGTTAATTGGTACCAGACTTGTCTGGGAGGATAAAAAAAAACACTGACTTGTACATCGGCTGGCCCCCGCAAGTCATTGTATAGGCCACATCGCATTCAAACGCCACTGCGAATGTACAAATGGAAGTAGAATGCGTGCCGCATCCCAAAAAGGGATTGATCAACGGCAAATGCTTTATCCTTTATCCTTTTTATGATCAGTGATATCATACTCATAATATCACAAACAAAACAGTATTCACACTTCAGGTTTTCTTGCTTCCTTTTCGCTCGAGATAATTCTCTCTCCACTATTCACATCGAATCAGAACCAACAACCGTCATAGCTTCCGACAAAACTTTCCCAACTTTAAAGATTTTGTTTCGAGAAACTTTCTGATTAGTGTGAAATTGAGCGAGTGCTTAATACCGCGCCGCTCTGTACCTCTGATCAATTGCCCTTTCGACCCTCTCCCCCTAACCTCAAAAAATCCACTTCAAAGACCTTACTGATTGAGTGCGACTCCTTTACACGTTGGATTCCGCCACTCTTTCCAAACAGTTTTGATCGTACGAAATTTACATCGTTCGACTCGCTGGTGCAAAGTTCGATTCGCTGGCGCAACGTTCGATTCGCTGACGCAACGCTCGGATCTAGCGATTCGCTAGCGAATCGCTCGATTCGCAAACTATGACATCGGCCTTAAGCGACGAATAAAACCAGATGTGCTTTGACGCTGCACAGTACTACAAGCTCATATGAAGCTTCAGCAATAAAATTTCCGCATCCTTTGCCCGCCCCACAGTGTAAACTTTACAATTCCGATGTGTGCAATACCAGTAGGTGGCACCATCACCGCATTTTTGAAGAAAAATGTATGTAAGTGGTACAGCTGCCCGCTACTAATATACTGTCACAAGAATCAGGGAATTCGTGAGTTAGGGGGAATGTAGCCAATCTAGGAGGTTGGGGGTGAAGGCAGTCACTTGACATACGTGAACGAAGGCCCGATGTGATCTTCTATTTGAAATCCCGGTCAACGACAAAACCTTAACCGTGATGTACATTTTGTGGTCACAACCTTCAGTCTCATTTTTGATCTTGCTTTTGATAGTTCGGATGTGGCTGCCGCAGATCATTTCGATCTACGCTCATGGTGCCGCCGACCCCTCGTTTGGCCGTCTGCCGTCTCCGCGATGTCCACAGTCTCTCGCTTTGATGCCAGTCCCTCGATTTCGGCGGCGCGCTTTTTTTGGCGGCAGGCATCGACGGTAGATCAAGGCGGTTACCGTATACGCAGTTGTGTGGAAAGTGAAGATCAAGGGAAAATTCGTTTTGAGATTTTCAATACAAAATGTATATGTTTCTATAGTGTAGCCGACGCTGGTACCAAATATTGAGTTTTTGTTTCGAATTGAGGAGTTTGTAAGGAATTGTTTGAAGGCTGTGCACACAACGCAGAGGTAGTCCCTCCAGAGAATCGATCAATACGAGCAGCGTCGTCCAAACCAAGACTCCCTGACGGTTCAAAGAAAACCGATGTTGTACTTTTGGCAATATAATATGTGAGTATCTAGAGTCAAACTCGTGCGGTGGGACGCAACGCAACCGCACGCGGCAACCTACGTTTTTCTTGGCACGTTTCGGAAATGCGACGATGATTAGGGTTACGGTTACAGAAAAAAGCAAACATTTCACAACAATCTGTAGGTACCTTATTTAGGAACCATTCGTAGCCACTCTGACCTCTCAGACTCTCCTACTATTTGGTGACTGTCTTTACGGTGAATGGACATCGTCCACCACAGAACACGGAAGATTCGGGAAATGGCCTCTCGCTGGCCGAGCTTTTCCTCCACAAAGGGTATATAATTCAGTGCAGGACTACAGAGGACTCGACTCACAAACATAACCTCCCCTTCAAAAAGCGAGAAAGTGTCGGGTGCAGACCAAACACCACAACTGACGACGGCCTCCAAGTAAATCTGGTTAGAAGTTGTTCATAGTGATAGCTGATTTCTGGTAAATGATAGTTGTAATTAGTGACAATCGATAGAATACAACTGCAACAGGCTAATCATTTCATTGGCAGAAAACATTAACATTTGTGAAGGCCGTCGTCACTTGTGGTGCATGGTCTGCACCCGACACTTTCTCGCTTTGAAGGTGATAACTTCAACTTTCAAGCCAAAACGAAATCAATTTACGCTTTGCTTAAATGGTTAAGTGCTTGCTTAGTTAACTGAATAACTCGGTTTGAAAAAGAGGTTTCACAAGAAGCTGGATGTTAACAAAATTTCGCCTGAAGCGGCTTTGGACCCGCAACTATCGCTTTCCGGCATGTGTTTACCAGTTACGCTACGAGCACCATTTTCATTTCCGGAATCAGCATTTCATGTATAACTTACAATTAGGGTTTCAGTACTTCACGGGCAAAAACAGCGTTAACAAACAAAAAAATGTCAAAATCGCTATGAGCTTTCGACCGAGGAGCAAGAGCACATCCATTTTTCAAATTACTTTTCTGTAACCTTTACCCCGACCACTCAATTGTGAATTTCCAGGACAGGTGAGGTTTTCGAATTTCAACGAATTTCGTTTCGGCATCGTGGACCACTTTCGAATTACTGGAGCGCTGGTTGGAAGAGCCCTTAATAGCGGCTGGACAGCTCAGGGAGCTTAGAGTATGTAGTTCTAGGCTTTTGGCTGTTACATAAGACTCCTCCCCCCTCTTGAGCTCGACGGTGATAAGAATGGGCATCATATCCTGTAGACGATGATGGTGGTAGAGGAAGGCCTGTTTCTGCTTTTGTGAGGGATAACTGAGGAATATTTTACCATGAAACTTCTATCAACGACGGCACCCTATGCAACGAGAAGATACATGGACTAAATACCTTTTTGCTTCCCCTCCTCCCACCAAAGATGTTCTCACGAGCCTTGGAACAAAAATTGCCAGTAGATTCCATGTTCGGTCTTCTTGAAACCTGGGCATGTTGAGAATATTGCTTGTTTTTCTTCTGCCATACAGGTTGTTACGATGGAACTATTTATTCGGTCGACGTTTCGAACAACTCGTCGTCTTCAGGACCTGAAGTCGGTTGGAAGTTTTAGCTTGTAATTTACCCGGTCAAGCCCCACAGTACTACTCTACTACTCAAGAAGTGACAAGTAGAGGCAAGATTCATTTAAGGAAACCAACCTTGCAGTTCCACCAGCGCCACTCCACCCAAAGTCGTCAATAGATGCGGAAAAATGAGACACACATGACAGTGAAGCGTCATACGTGCCATATGTGAATATCTCACATTCCACATAAAGGAATGAAAGGCAGGAATTCATTTGTAATGGCAATGCATTCATTCCGGTTATTTAACTTTGGATTACGAGCGCGGATATAGAACGCTTCCAACATCTTTCTAGCACCAACGTCATCCTCGCGGGCGAGGATTCTGCACTCAATATTAAAATCATTGCCCTGGTGATCTTCTAACCGGTGCTTTCCAAGTGGAGTAATCAGGTTCCCACGCCTTTTTCCTGTAAGATGTTCTTTAACGCGTATCGCTAATCATCCGAAGTTAGCATTCTCCCGAAATTTCATACAAGTAAGAAGTTAGGATCAATATGCAATCTTGCGGAAAACCACCCTAGGATAATCGGTATTTACCGTAGACTCCTAGGCGTTCGTTATCAAACAAAAACAATACATATTGCACTCCACCTTGCTTAAGTGTAATGCGAAGGAGGGGTCGTGCCGGCGACTGTTATCAGATCGTTGTTGGAGAACGATTGAGGATGGGTCGAAGGAGATTTGTAATTCTATCCGGTCTAGGATTAAGCTAACTTTATGCGCAAAGTACAATGCTCTCAGGAATGAACAAGTTGGGGTCAATTCTAGAAGCAGGGTTACCCTACCTGCGGACCACCAGTTTCAAGAAGCGACCACTCATGAAATAAGCAATCAAGATCAGGCAAGAGTTACTGTAATCGGCAATGCAACTATATCGCGAAACGCTTTGGATTTCCTCAACCTTGGGCCTTCGTTTTCGATTGCGCGGGGAATTGGACCTTCTACGTTCCGCCATGTGGTAACGGGGCTCCATAAATTGAGAGATCAACTTAGAAGGAATGCAAGTCGAGACCAACAGCACGCGAATACAGAGGCTGATCGATCAATGTTGGCGCCAGTTCCTTTCCCACGTTCGTTTTATAAGGAGCCTCAGCCTTTCCCTGACACAGACACCAAATTTCGAGTTCTCTCTTCGGGAATACTTGAAATTTTAAACAGGCACAGGCGCGAAAGGTTTTCAAACCTTACAAGCGCGCAGTGGGAAGGCTTCCAAGAGATTAGAGAACGCGTAGCTAACAGTGAAATCCGTCTCTCCGTGAGCGACAAAGGAGGAGAGTTCGTAGTTTCACCTTGCACTTTAGATCGGGAAATTACAGAGCTCCACCTTAGTGATTCCTCCGTTTACAGTCGCACTACAGAAAAGGCTTTCATCGCCCAATGTCACAGGTTGAATGCACTGTGGATATCCGTCGGAAAATCAGCTGGACTAGACGAAAGATTTATGAAGAGATTGAAGTTGGAAACTCCCTCGTGCCCTGTGTTCTATAGCCTGATCAAGACTCATAAGTTAAACAATGGAGAAGAACGCTCGACAAATGCTAGCGATTACAAAATACGACCAATCATTAGCTGTGTAGGAGGACCAACAGATCGCATTTCTTGGTTTCTCAACAAAATTGTTGGTCAACTCCTACGGTACGTACCTTCACACTTACCGAACACCAGAGAATTTCTGGATCGACTACACTCCTGCAGAATTCAAGAAAATTGTGTTATAGAGTCGTTTGATGTGACTGCCCTCTACACGAACGTAAACAACGACGAAGCTCTCCAAGCACTCTCTGAGATGCTGGACGATCATGGAGCTGAGATCGTGACGTTCGGGTTGAACAAAGCACACATTATGACTCTGGTCAAGGAGTGTCTAAATTGCAATATATTCAAGTGGAGTGGGCGCTACTTCTCACAAAAACGAGGACTTGCAATGGGCCAACGTCTAGCACCTGTCTTAGCTATCTGCTTTATGGGCAGAATAGAAAGACCAGTGATAGAACGCATGCCCATTATGTACTGTCGGATATATTGATGACTGTTGTGTGATCACCTCAACACAACTCGAAATGGATGAATTGTTCAATATACTGAATCAACGATCACAGTACATAAAGTTCACTAGAGAAGTTCCACATAATGGTTGGCTACCTTACTTGAATACTCAAATAAAAATCTCGAGTGGAAGGTATAGTGTGAAGTGGTACCGGAAAAGCAGCTCAAAGAACATCTTACTCCATGCAAAGTCTGCACACCCCACAGCTGTAAAAAACGCTGTTGTTCGGAATATGTACAAAACAGCTATTGGAGTTTGTACGGGCAACATGGAGCGAGATGAGTCTCGCAAGCTAGCCGCTGTCATTGCGAGGATGAATGGCTACGAAGAACAAGGAAGATCAGGCTCACAAAGGTATTCCGCGAGAAATCGCGAGGCGTCACACGGGCGTTCCGCGCGTAGTCGCGAAGACATTGCACATCTCCAATTGCCTTTTATATCAGATAAAGTCAGCGCAGCTATACGCCAGTGCATAGTAAGAGCAAATTTAGCCAACGACGTCGTTTTGATCAATATACCAGGGGAAAATATCAAACGACAATTAATCCGCAATAGGCTATACGACCGAGCATGCACGGCCGACGACTGCGTAATTTGTCCGTATGGAAGGCATGGAGACTGTGCACAACGAGGGACAGTATACCAACTCCAGTGCTTAACCTGTAACGAAGTTTACATCGGAGAGACGGGCAGAATGTTAGCGATACGCGTTAAAGAACATCTTACAGGAAAAAGGCGTGGGAACCTGATTACTCCACTTGGAAAGCACCGGTTAGAAGATCACCAGGGCAATGATTTTAATATTGAGTGCAGAATCCTCGCCCGCGAGGATGACGTTGGTGCTAGAAAGATGTTGGAAGCGTTCTATATCCGCGCTCGTAATCCAAAGTTAAATAACCGGAATGAATGCATTGCCATTACAAATGAATTCCTGCCTTTCATTCCTTTATGTGGAATGTGAGATATTCACATATGGCACGTATGACGCTTCACTGTCATGTGTGTCTCATTTTTCCGCATCTATTGACGACTTTGGGTGGAGTGGCGCTGGTGGAACTGCAAGGTTGGTTTCCTTAAATGAATCTTGCCTCTACTTGTCACTCTTGAGTAGTAGAGTAGTACTGTGGGGCTTGACCGGGTAAATTACAAGCTAAAACTTCCAACCGACTTCAGGTCCTGAAGACGACGAGTTGTTCGAAACGTCGACCGAATAAATAGTTCCATCGTAACAACCTGTATGGCAGAAGAAAAACAAGCAATATGGTCTTATTTTGAAAGCCTGAACGCATCGATAAGCCTCTAAAATCCCCGTTCCCATTATTTTCTGTAATGCCATCCAAGCAAGTAAGGCATGCGGCAGACGCGCTCTAGTGGCAAAAGTGGGCGGTCGGACAAGTGGACGAGTTTCGCCTCGGAGTGATTGAGGTCGAGATTGTAACAAGCGCTGATTTCTCATCGTTTCTCCTTGGATTTATATGAAGTAACGATATTCAACCTGTTGTGTTCAGTTCGATTTGGGTGATTTTTCAACCGTCATGTTACCTGAGCCAAGCAAAGGAAAGAAGAAGCCAGATATTGAGGACAAGGACAACGCAAAGAAAAGCGACAAGGTTATTTGGTTTCTTGTGTTGTTTTTTGTTTTCTGTTCTTTCTATGTTTTTGTGTGTGCTTTGAGGAAAAGTTACATCAAAAGCGGTGTTATAGCGACGAAATTCGCTCACTGATTCGTCAACGTTCTCAACTTCCACGTCGTCAAACAGCAGTAGTGTAGATAGTGACGAGGCGGTCAGTTGGCTTGGGACTTTGTGCGACTCTAAAGGGACCATGACAGTGCCCACAGAAGGTGTGGGCAGCCCAGAAGAGCAAGGAGTGAAAACCGAACTGGAAAAGGTAAACCGTATTATTTTATTGCATACATTTTTTCCCTCCACTGTTTCTCAAGGAGCTTCCACTCAAAAGTGAGGTTTTGTGGATCGTGACTTTCACGAGTCTTTTAAAGTTTACTGAAATTTTGACTTGTTTGGTTTGGAATGTAAACTGCTCTCAACCTCTCTGATCTTACTAATTCTCTATGTGATAGCGTTTGTCCTTCTATGGACAAGTTTTTGGTGCACTGGGTATCTCATGCAATTTTTCTGCCTTCCCAAGTATAGCACCTAATTCAGTGAATTGCCTTGCACGCCAACAAAGCCATCTCCTCAGCAGTTATGACGTAATATCAGAAGTCAGAGAGGGGTTCAAAACTTTGATCCAATGATTAACGTTGGGTTTCATAGCCCAGTTTCAGAATCTACGGCGGTGATGCTCCCCTTATGTAGCATATGATATGCGCATCAACTTTGCAATAACGATGATTCATTCTTAGGCTAGGACTGTCTTACGATATGTTAAGCTACGACTTTAACGTGACCTTTTCGCGAACCTGCTGAGTTTGGAAGTGGAACTGGTACTATTTTATCAGTTAAAATTGTCCAGTTAACCCGATTACTGGCTACAGTTGTTGCATTCGCTTTTCATGTATAGTCCGTTCAACCGTCGGTTGCCGTAGGCACGTGCAAATAGTAAAAAAATGTTATTGCTAAAAATTGATCCCAGCTGTTGCTTTTCAGTTTCGTCGACCGATTCGAACCGACAATTCGCCAGCTGAGGAGTATCGTCGACTTCATGGTTTCAGGAGCTTAGCAGATGATCTTAACGTAAGGATTAATGGCATAGCATATTTCATTACTCAGTTCCGCGTTTGGACCCGGTCTTAGTGCTTACCGTGGGCAAAGGGTAGACACTCCTTAGATTACGTTCTATATAAAGATATTTCTACAGCAGTGAATCATACAGCTTAATGTTAGTGACAGAGTTTCTAATTTGTTGCTGGTAATTAACGAGTGATATTTATAGAATGTTTTCTCGACCCAAAACAAACAAGGCAATAACGAAAATACCAAACCTTCTGTGATACAAACCAAGAAGAGGGTTGAGAAGCTACGAAAAGAACGTGAGAAGAAGGACAGGAAGGAGCGCGAAAGGGCTGCTGCAGCGAAGGTTACAATTATTTATTTTATATCTTCTTTTTTCAACATTCTGGCTATTTATGCTGTAGAATAACTGTTTGATTTCGTCTAATTATTTTACAGAAAGAAGTGGAAAATCTGGAAGCGAACCGACAGTCAGCACTGTTTGAATGTGAGAAAGAAAGATGTGTACGGGAAATGGTTAGGTGTAACCAGCGTCGTGGTCAGCACACTCTTGGACCAGTTCATTACGGGTTTGTGTTTTATCTTCCTATTCAGAAGGTGATGGTAAAATTCCTAAAACAGTGCCGAGAATTGTATTTCATTTCTGGGCGACAGTACATAAAGGCATCGTTACTATGGCTCCAATAATTTGGTTTGAAAATCTGAAAAACAAGGCATTTTTAGTGCAAGAAAATCAAAGCTTTCAAGAGAATTGCGGGAGGGCTGCGTTTTCGCACATGTGGATTACTCTTTATGCGACCTCCCGGGACAACTAAACTCGAGTCTTGAAATAACTTTATTTTTTCGCCTTCCGTCCATGCACACAAAAGTGATGTGTACATGTGAAGTCACTTTGAGTAATTGCTCCTTTTCGATTCTTCGTGTTAGCATATGCTGGAAGGTTATCTACTCAAGGATCTGTACTTATTTCAGATTTTGTAACTAGTTTGATTGGCCGTTACTTTCTACCATTTCCGGGAAATAGAGTTTTGCTACGAAAAAGCTAGAGGTTTCTTTTTTGTTCTCAGTGTTTGAATGGGATGTCTTAGGTCAACTAGTATGATGTCGTCAATGGATTCGTCTTTCTCCATGCCGAATGAAACTGTACGGATGGCCAAGCAGGAGGAGAAACTCCGAGCCTGCGTCGGTTTTGGAATCGCAGCCACTGGAGTGTATGATCACGTTGGTCTTACATTTCATTCGCATTGTTGTTCTTTTTTTCTAAAAATTATCCATTTAGCTTCCAAAGATTGCATGTGCTAGAGTGGCAAAACCTCCTTATTATTCTGATCTTGTTGGAGCTCACAAAGAGAATTGGAGGGAAAGTTATCAAGACGTGAGTGACAAGATAATGCTGTTTTGTCTTTCATGTAAGCTAAATTTTAGTCTTATTTGCGAGAGCATAACCACATTGGAGCGCTTTACGTGGAAAAGGATGCCTTGGAAGGTGTGGCAAAGGCGATGGAAACTGTAAGTGAATTTCGGGAAATTTTGTGGTTCTTCTATGTATTTCTATTCCTTCTAGATTGCTTCTATGGGTGACTCTGTCTACTCAAATAAGTGGCTAAGGAAGCTTCTTATGCTGGTTTTACGTGGAAAAATCCGGAAGGTTAGCAGTTGTTTTATCATGTGAT